GGCAGCTGTTAACTTCCCACGTCTGTGAATGACCTTACCCATTTCATATCAGTGGGTTCATGCTATGCAACCTTTCACATGTGGCACAACATGTTCAAGTTTTGTCATGTGATAGGAGTACTTCATGGCTTTTGTTCAATACCATTTCAGAGTATGGAGGTGCCAGCTTCTATAAGCATGTATGTATATACACCTTTTCATCTGGATATATGTATTCATTTCTCTCGGGTAGTGATGTAGGAGGCAGTCGCTGAGTCATGTGGTGAGGTGGTGCTGCCTGATCTTGGGGACACCGCCAACTGTTTGTGTGGGCCGTGCTGTGTGGTTTCCCCACCACGTGGGAGATTCTAGTGTTTCCACATCGTCCCCAACATTTGTTTTTACCGTCTTTTTGGTGTGTAACTGTATGTGTTTTCGTGTTTCGTGTTTCGTGTTTTCGTGCATGTGCACATATGTGTACATGCGTGTGGAGGCCGGAGGTCAACCTCAGGTGTCATTCTTCAGGAGCTGCCCACCTTGGTTTTTGAGATGGGGTCTCTTACTGGGACCTGGGGCTCACCAGTTCATCTAGGCTGGCTCCAGGGAACCCCCAAGACCAACCTGCCTCTGCCTTCTCAGACCTGGGGTTGGAAGCACTCGTCACTGTACCTCTGGCTTTTTACATGCGTGCTGGAGACTGAACTCAGGTCCTCAACCTTATGTGCAAGTGCACGTGCATGGTACTGCATTTCATCCGGACCTCCTCACTTTGAGCGCTTCCCAGTGGAAATAAAATCGCATAGAATCACTCTCACTGTTTTAATCGCTGGAAAGTATGTGGGTCAGTGTTTTTACAATGCGTGAACAGTGCTTTGTGACTTCCACAGTGTAGCTTTCCACAGCTCGCCTTATTTGGCTATAACTAAACAAAGTAGCATCTCTCTGCGTGATGCAGGCCACTCCTCCATCTGCTGCCCTCAGGGCATCTGCTGGACTGCTGACAGTTTGCCCTAACGAAGATCCTGTGGATGAATAGCAAGTGGCCTCTCTCACTGCTTTCCAAACACTCTTGTGCACTGTCTTTAGATCGCTAATGTGAGCTATGCCACTATGGGTCTCTGGATTTATCCAGCTTGGAGTTTCCTGAGGCCCAGAAAAAATGGTTTTCTTCAAATGTGGGAATATTTTTATAGTTATGAGAATTTCGTAAACATATAATGTGTCTTGTTCAAGTCCATCCCCCATTCCCTCCCCTCCAACTCCTCCTCTATCCCAACAACCACTATCCCCCCTCCCAATTTCGTGTGCTTATTTTTTCTTTAAAAAAATAAAAAAACAGCCTGTCCACTCAGTGCTGCCTGTATGCACAGGGGTCCTGGGCCTTTTACCGGTCATGGCTAGCCTCTCAAAGGCTGCATCCTATAAGAATGCTGACTCTCAGATTTGGTTTTCTTTTTTTAAGCATTGTTTTTCCAAGCATTCTCTTCGCCTTTTCCCTCTTTCCTCCCCTTTTGGGATGTCTTGGCTTCCTGCATGAAACCTTGTTTCCCATTCTTCAGTTCCCCCTCTTTGCCTTAAGTGGGCGCTCTCGTGGACTGGTTTTCATCCTATGATGTAATCGGACTTTCTTTGGACCACCAGCTCACAAATAGCACAGAGACTTATTATTGACTATGAAAGTTCAGTCTTAGCTAGACTTGTCCCACTAGCTCTTGTAGCTTAAATTAACCCATATTTTTATTAATCTACATTCTACCATGGCTTTTACCTCTCTCCCCTTTTGTGAGTTCTACTAATTCTGTGTCTAGATGGTGTCCTGCTCACCTTCATTCATCTCCTACTTCCTCTCTCTCTGCCTGGAAGTCCCACCCTATACTAGCTGTTGACCCCTCAGCTCTTTATTAAACCAATCATAGCAATATGTCTTCAGCAGTGCACAAATATCTCACAACCCTTTGACGCTATCTGAAGCTGCTCAGTTCTACTTGTGATCTTATTTATTATACTCATCAGCTCCAGAATTCTCTTGCTTCTTTTTTTATAATTTCTGTCTCCTTATTGGTACTGCTTGGACGGTCATTCTCATAATTCCTTTAGGTTTGGGGGCATGGCTTTCTTTAACTTTTTTTGTTTGTTGATTTTTGGTTTTGAGACAGGATCTCACACTGTAACCCCAGGGGACCTGAAACTTACTTTGTAGCCCAGGCTACCCTCAAACTCGTGGCTCACAATCAGTTTCCCAGGTGCTGGAATTACAGGCATGCATCATTACCCTAGGCTATCTCTTGAACATATTTAGTTTATTTAATCTTATCTGGTGAAGCTGCTGCTGTACCAGTTTCCTTAGGGACAGCTCCTTTTAGCTGTCCTTTCCCTGCGTGGCGACCATTCTTCTTTATTCTTCATTTTCTTTGTAATTGTTGCTCTTGAAAACTGGACATGTTGAACCGTGTAAGTGGCAGCTCTGGAAATCAGGTCCCCACTCAGTGATTTGTCACAGTCACTGGTGTTTGTTTGCACAGTCCATAGTTTATTTAAAGCATCGATTTTGTACCGTCTGTATGCCTTGCCTTGTCTTACCTGGCCATAATGTCTCTGTTCCATTAAATTCACAGACAGAAAAGCAAACCCAGTCTGGGCAGATGGGTGTGGGAGCTGGGACCTTGCCAGCAGTCAGGCAGCCTGTAGAACTCCCCTGTTCACCTGCTTCCATGCCTAAACGTTGGCCCTGGAAAGCACCGGACGCTTCTTTGATATTTACTGAGTAAACACGCAAGCATGTGTGTGGCATCCTGAATCCCAAAGCATTTTCCAATTCCTTGTTCCCCAAGCACCTCCTGTCCAGCCTGTCCTCAAAAGCTCTTGCTTGTTTCAATTGCAATCCATTGCCTCGGGCAGTAACAGCGGAAATGTCCACCAATGAATGGCTTTGACAGACAGTCTTAAGCTAGCTGTGTTGGCACCAGGCAGGTTTCTGGTGTGGGAGATAACGACAAAGCCTTTGGGTCCGTCTTCCTGGAACTTGGAAGGAGCTTCGCGGAATGGGGACCCCTGGTGATCCCAGTGTGTTCTTCCAGTACCAGCGCTGGTGTCAGTGGTACAGACTGTGTTTTTTTCAAGGACACCGTTGAGCTGGGAGCATGGGATGGACAAAGTGAGTTCTCTGAACTGGACACGACATTGACAAGATGAGTCCTCCGCGCTGAGATCAGAGGGTGAATGTGGGGTGAGTTCCCCGCTTTGAGATCAGAGGGCAGATGTGGGGTGAGACCCCCACTCTGAGATCAGGGGTGGATGTGGGGTGAGACCCTGCACCTGAGATCAGAGGGTAGATTTGGGGTGAGTACCCTGTGTTGAGATCAGGGTGGATGTGGGGTGAATCCCCCACACTGAGATCAGGGGTGGTTGTGGGGTGAGAACACCACACTGAGATCAGGGGTGGTTGTGGGATGAGTCCCCTGAACTGGAGTAGTGTAGACACAGGCTAAGTCCAGTTGCTGCAAAAGGTCATTGTTACCAAGATTCAGTTGCTTTCTCTGAAGGTCCTCATGGTCACTGATAATTTTGGTTAGTTCCAAAGCTCCACAAAAGTTGGCTCCAGAAACTTTTACCTGTTTTTCATTACCCGAAGGCTGGATTTTGGAGTGCTTTATTGTACAATGTACTTGTCACATACTATACTAAGGTTGGGGCTAAGAAAATTCTTTCCTCGTATGTGCGGTGCTGACAATTATCATTTGTCTGGCTGCCACCATGAGAACACTGGGGGAGGGGCGGTCCCCCAACAGATATCCAGAGTGCCCTCAATGGCAGGTTGCTCCGACCTGAACCGACTTGCCTGCCGTCCCTACTCTTGCTGCTGTTGCCACAGCTCTACGTGCCTCTGCTGAACCTCTGACTTCTCCTTTCCAGGGAGCAAAGAAGAGAGCGCTGTAAACAGTACATTGGAGGGGGTGGGGAGTCCTCTGGGACGAAGAGCAGACTCCTCCGTGCAGTCCAAATCTTGAATGTTAGTAATGTTACCCACCACCACCACCTTTTTATATAGCATCCTCTAGGAAAAGTGAGCCCAGTGCAGGAAAAAAAAAATGTGTATGCCAAACAGTTGGCATAGAAACCTAGAAGGCTCAAAGACCATCTGAAGAAATTTCTCTGAGTATCAAACAGTTCCTTTGACTTAGAAATCAAGGCTGGCAGAAAAATCAAGCGCCGTGGGTTTCCGTCCTTCTTGATTGATTGGTGTTTCTCAACCCCAGCTGTGCTGCGAAATTACCTGGAAGCTTTGTTCCAAGCAGAGCGGACCACTGCCATCACGGAGGTGTCAAAGCTCCGTAAAGCCTAGCAAGGCTGAGATGTAGGCCGCTTCCTCTGTGACCACCAGTGTCCCAGGACCTCCCTCCCTCCCCCGCCCCGCCCCTGTGAATATGCAGGCAGGACCTCTAAGAAAAACTGCCCCGGTTTCTCCTACACAATTATCATATCTTTACATTTTCTTTTCGTTCCTTCATTGTGCTCAGTGTTTCTCATTTGGCTTTAAATGTCTTTTTTTCTTTTTTATAATTGGTTCCTTTAAATCCGGTCCAGAGCAGTGTACACGCGGCGCATTTGCTGGAATTTCAGAAGCCTGTTTCTAATTTATGGCAAGCCCCACCCCACCTCTATTTTCCTCCTTTGTGGAAGGGCTCGCTTTTTAAATACTGACCAGCCCAGGGCAGACCAGACGTGGGTTTTGAGAGACGTATGCTACCAGATACATAGCAAAAACTCTCTTAAGAATCTAGGGTTCCCACCTACGACCCTTCCTTGCTTAGGAAAGTTTTATATGTTCCTGCCCTCTAGGAGATGAAGTAAGGTAAGGAGTCCTGTGGAGAGTTTGAGGGAATCCCAAGTCTGGTCAAGGTGGAGCTTGCAAGTGTGCCAGAGGTGGACCTGGGGAAGGGAGCTCATGGTCCCAGAAACCTGGATCCTTGGTGAGGCCGGTTTCTCTGCCCGCAGTTCTAACACTCGGTTCCCTCTTATAGGCCCAGTCTCCTGATCGCAGTCGGCATATGGAACCATGGCCCGGCTCCCGGGGCACCCGGAGGTCCCCAGCCCAGAGCCTGGCAGCACAAGTCGGGGAGGCCGAGGCAGTCGAGCGGCCCGAGCGCGACATGTCATTATCAACGTCGGGGGCTGCCGGGTGCGGCTGGCCTGGGCCGCGCTGGCCCGCTGTCCCCTGGCACGCCTCGAGCGCCTGCG